ATTAATTACAAACTGGCTATTAAACAAATATCAAGTAATGGGGTCTTTAGCTTTAATATATAGTGTGTGGCCAATAATTTTGATTGTAATACTTCTCTTCAAGAAAGTGCTGAGCAAGACTAGATTTTTTTGAGATACCTTTCCCCAATATCTCGGCTATTTCTTTGGTTTTCCTTTTTATTTTCCTTATTCTTTCTATTTTACACTCAGATTAGCCGTGAAATACATTGCAGGAGTTATTATGAATGATGAAACTGTGCATCAGCTGTGTAAACAGGCAGTTGCCCAGGTAAAAATGGAATAAAAAAGTAAAATATTCATTGACACCTTTTTAAAAAAAATAAGTTTATAATTTTTTTTTTATTTCTACTGAATTTCCTTCCGTAGGCTCGAGCAGGAGCAGATGTTGTGAGCCCGAGTGACATGATGGATGGTCGTGTTGGAGCTATTCGGTCTGCCCTTGATGCTGAAGGCTTTCAGCATGTCTCGATTATGTCGTATACTGCCAAGTAAGTAATTTTTCCTGAAAATGATTAAAGCATTTATAATAAGCTACATTATTCTCAGCAATTTTATTATTATTATTCATATTTCGCTTAGTTTTCAAATTGGATTTCATATTTCAGGTATGCCAGCTCGTTCTACGGTCCCTTTAGAGAAGCATTAGACTCAAATCCACGATTCGGAGACAAAAAAACGTATGTATACGACTTACTAACCTTATCTCGAGTTCTTGTTCTTTCTATAACACAAAATTTCGCTTATAAAGCTCCATTTTCACTAAAAAAAAAATATATAGTTATCAGATGAATCCAGCAAATTACAGAGAAGCCCTTATCGAAACACGTGAGGATGAGTCTGAAGGGGCCGATATTCTTCTGGTATGCGAATTTCAGTTAATTTCAAGTGTAGAAATAAAATGTTTGTTTTTACAGTAACTTCTTTGGGTAATAGGTGAAACCGGGTTTACCTTACTTGGATATAATCAGGCTTTTGCGCGATAATTCTCCTTTGCCAATTGCTGCATATCAAGTAAGTTCACATTATGAATGTTAGTAACTAAACCTTCTACCGCATGGTTATTGTTTAAGTACGTAAAAAGTAAAAACACTTCTTCTTTTTTTTGTTTTTCCCCTCAAAATCACCTAAAATTCACAATGCTTATCGATTCTTTCTATTTTGTAAGGTAACTAGAATATCTGTGAGTAGGCCTCACTAGTAGAATTTCTTTTTTATATATATAATATTGCATTTGCAATTGCATTTGTTCTTGTTCTACTAGGTTTCGGGTGAGTACTCAATGATTAAAGCTGGGGGTGTTTTAAAAATGATCGACGAGGAGCGAGTGATGATGGAGTCGTTGATGTGTCTTAGAAGGGCCGGTGCTGACATCATCCTGACGTACTTTGCTCTGCAAGCCGCGCGATGCTTATGTGGCGAGAAGAGGTGAGAGAATGCATGTGTATGTGTGTATCTGCTCAAATTTCAATACAGTTGTTTGCAGAATTTTGAACTGTTAGTTTGTACTCATGCAATGTGTACTTTGGCATGAAAAGAATTTTCATCATATTAAATTAAGTGAGCAAGCCTCTGAGATTTTTTTTCACTTTTTCAGTTGTTATTTGTGAATGAACAAAAACAATTCTAAATTGCTCCTATTTCAAGTGGATTTGGAAATAATTAGAGGTTTGAAAGAATAATTGATGTGAATGTAAATACTAAATATGTACTTGTGTAATAATCATATCTAGATTTTTTCTAAAAAAAAAATAATGCAGCTCCAGATAATAATTTCAGAAAACCTCTAGATCAAATCTGAGTAAGTCAAGCAAATATATTTTCTCGTTTGTAAGATTACAATGCAGCTCCAGACAATAGTGCATCATTGACAGCATAAAACTTTAGTACAAACTGCAAGAAAACACAATCTATTCAGAATTACTGCATTTAATTCTACCTTCATTACTAAAAGAAAAGAAAGAATAAATAAATACTCTCTAAATGCTTCTTTTTTCCTACTATATCCAAAGCACACACAAAACCAAGTGCTTTTTCCATACCACATTCATTCCTCTTCAAAAAAAAAAAAAAAAAAATCAAAAACATAAGCAAAACACAAGTTCTTCATCCTTCTTCACGAAGCCCGTCACTCGACACTAGGATTGCTTCACGCTCGTTTAGGTACCTCTCGGCTATGGCTGCGTGGACGGCTGCCCCCACTGGAAGGGCATTTTCGTCAATCGAGAAATGTGGGGAGTGGGGCGAGTGAACCGAGCCTAAGGTCTCGTTTTTTATACCGATGAAGGAAAAAGCCGAGGGGACAGCCTCCGAGTAAAACGAGAAGTCCTCTGACCCCATAACGGGCTGGACAGCCCGAAAGCCCGTGGGCCCCACAAGGTCGACGGCCGATTGCCTCACGTGACGGTACATCCGGTCATCGTTGACCAATGGAGGGTAGATTGTGTCCGAGTTCTTGAAGAAGTCAACCGAAGCCGAACATTTGTAGACCTTCACCTGGGCTACGATCACCTGTTTTTCGCAGGGATTTGCAGAAACTACACTTAGGTTTGAGGTAATTGCAAAGTTGAATAAAAATAGAAATATCTCCCAAGTTGTGATCTCGTGATCTCTCAACCGCATTTAAATTTATTCGAGCTTTGCTTGTAAATACCACTAAATCTCATGGTGTTGTTTGCAATTTCACTACCAAGAATCCTCCTTTTATCTTTCAAGATTTGTAGTTTTCTCAAGGTTTCACTTCACATCCTTTTTTAGAGAAAATAACACTAAACTCTATTTTAGATTGTGTGATTATTCCAAAATGTGTTAGCCAAACTAACCTCTTCAATCCTTTTGAGAAGTAGATTGAAGCTCGTGTTCGAAAATGCCCTTATCGTGCCACCAAACTCGACCTTCGATCTCACGTCAAACCCATCATCATTATCATCATCTTCACTGTTCAAGAAAGTAACCGAGACCACCTGAGAGGTACAACACAAATACTCGGCTAAAGTACAAGACGACAAGTAAAAAAAAATAAAAAAAATCAGTTGGTGTCTTTTTTCAAACCCACCTGAGATTCCAAGGGATTAGATTCACGCGAAACGATCCCCTGCAAGCTGATCACAGAAGCGGAGGCAGCTAGAATGGGCCTGCAGCCCGTTATCACAGCCTTGAAGAACCCACAGCCCGCGAGAAGTGGGCCGGGCCTCGACCCTATGACACCTGTCGGAAGGAGATGGGATACGTGCAGCCCAAATATTGCCTCGACTTTCTCGAGAGCACCATCTTTTATCATTCTCTTTGCACCATTCCCAGCTTCCTCTGCTGGCTGGAACAAAAGTATCACAGTCCCCTGTCGAAAAAGGCCATATTACAAAAATAACCCTTGGGATTTAGTTTTATTACAAACCGGCCACAGCTAATTTACAAATTGGACCTATTCAAAACGACGACTTCTTTACAGATTGGCCGTACAGGTGGGGCCCACGCCTTTCGACCACTATCGAACAATTTATCTAATAGAGAAACAAAAGATTAAGGAATCTTGAATTAAAATCACACAATCCTCTCTCCAGGTGAATGGTGGTAGTTTGAATTTTGAGAAAACAATCGGTTTCCCACTTTCGAAGGCTACCTTCATGACACCTCACTTTTTGACAAAATAATTTCATCACATTTTTTCCCTTGTGTGTGAAGAAGTGAACAATAAGTACTAATAGTTTAGCTCACATGACAAGCATTGAAAGAGACTATCAAAATGGAAATCCTAAAATTCTCAGCTAACACACACACACACATGTGATGACATGGTCCCTGCAAGTTGTTACGAGTCGCAATCGAGAATAAATCTTTAGTGCTTCAGCTAATCTCGTAAAAAAGAAAAAAATAAAAAATAAAATCGAGAGAGAGAGAGAGAGAGAGAGAGAGAGAGAGAGAGAGCCACAAGACTAGATAGAATAACTTCTGCATGTTTTAAGAGCTACAATCGAAATAAATGGTGTGGGGTCGAAAAGAAGGTAAAGAGTCATCGTGTCTTCTTACATACAATTGCCTGTCAGTACTCTCCGTAGAATCCTATAATTTTCATAGGATGTACCATAATTTGAAGTTAATATGGTACAAAACTATTGAGAGGGATTGTGATTTGTGAAAGGGAAATTTGTGATTAGTGAATGTGCATGCATTCAACTCTCTCTATCTCTATCTCTATCTCTATACGTAGAGCGAAAAATAAATCTTAGCTTCATTTACCTTATCTCGAGCAAAGTTCTATATCGTAATTCGAAAGAATGCCATGTGTACAAAATGAAGTCGTAATATTATTTAAAACAAAAAACCGTTAGACCGACATGAAATTTTCGCATATTAGATCCGTTTTTCGTCCACACGGCTATTAAGCTTTGCCTAACTCAAAAGGGGCTATAGATGAAACCCACCTACATGTGTAAAATAGTCCAAGATTCTATAAGAATCAATACAAACACTTTGCTATATATGAACTCTTTGAATAATTCTAGCTCTTGTTCTTGGATTCCCATTGTTCGTATATATGCGAAAAATATAAAAACCCACTACCACTAGAACCAATCTAAGTGAGCACCCGAAAAAACTATAGTAAATTATGGGCACAGTTAAAATCATGAGTTCGACATAGCGTGTACTTAACGGGCAAAAA